TCTGCCTCTGAATGACATGTATTCTTTGTTCTCATCTTCTGAGGAAAATTAGTGATTGATCCCACAGAGAACATGTCTGAACTTCAAGGGAACTATACCAGTTTATACATGCACAAATGTTGATCTCTATCAGGAAATACAGTATTTCAATTCAGTGACACAAAGAAATCAAACCAGTATTGCTGGGATAGCAGGACCATGATGGAGAAAAATATTCAAGTCCCAAAACTTGAATACACCAGCACCCAGCTAAACAATACAAATAAAATTGTGTGTTAGCTGTAAGACAGGGATCTGACCACTATTCTTTGTGTTTTTCCAACTGCACTACAGCAAAACATGAGCTTGGAATTGGTCATGGTCAGAAGCATCAACTGCTCTTTTCTATGGCTTTTACCATTTTTCCCATTGCAATATCCCATGAGATCCTTATAGCCAGCCCAGGAGTCAATGGTGCTACACAAAACCAAAACTGAAGGACAATCATTGTACAAAAGACCACAAGTGTTTCTGCACCTCGTAGTGGACAATACCTGTCACATTTCCCCTACAGCCTTCAAACACTCTGGGGAGTGGTTCAGTCACCACCCCTGCAGGTACTGAAAATGATGTGCAGATGTGGCACCTGGGGACATGGTTTAGAGATGGACAGTGCTGGGGGAATGGTTGGACTCAGTGATCTTCGGGGTCTTTTCCAACCTAAATGATTCCGTGGTGCTGCGATTACTTTAGGGAAAGAATGAGCAGATTTATAGGCTACAACAAGCACCACAGGCTGATCTGAAAGAACCCTGTACTCCATAAGATTCAACCACCAAATTACAAGTAAATCAGCAAAGGAGAACCTATGGTAATATTAGGCAACACAGCAAGCTATTCAGTGTCTTGCTGGCTCTACCTATGACAGGGAACACTACAAGATGGTTATCTCCTTTAGGTTCAGGCTCAAAAGTATTATCAAACCCCCTAATTCAAAGAAAGATATCTGCTGCACATTTCCCAATTTACTACTTCAGGAATATATTTACAGTCTTTATATCTGCAGATGATGTGTCTTTCTAAATTTACAATGCATTCACTGAAAAGCTCTCATAAAAGCGTAATTCCTGCTCCCATATCCTCCACTCCAACGTTAATCACACAGAAACTTCCTGCATCAACAAGACAGAATAAAGCCCTACCCAGCCAACCCCTCCAGTCCAGCTGACACATCATTAGACCACATCTCAACACCATGCAGCATGAAAGCTTGTGCTTGCTTTTCAGAAAAGACCAAGATAAAAGATTTCAGCTGAAAGGCATAACCAGACTCATTTATTTGATGTTCACTCAGACAACTTAGTTTTCAGAGCTGTAACTTTCTCCTGATAATACACAGAGGCATAGCCACCACGTGGTCATAAACCAGGCCAAATGTCTTCTATAAGATACTGCTAAGATTTTAATTACTTGTGCCCTCAAGCCTGTAAGTGATGTCTTCCCTATCTGCCTCAGAAACCTGGACTTCACCCTTGCTTCAATCGTAAATTCAAAAGCTGTCAGAGGCCCTTCAAATTGCTTTTGAAATATTTCTGTACAACACCATTTTTCTAGACATCACAGACAGTATCAAAAATATCACAGGCAACATAAAAATGATGGCTTGCAAACCACAGCAGACAACCTACAGATCAATTACCTTGCTTCCAGGCAAAAAGCACTCATCTAAAACATAAAGAAACACCCACTCCAAGATCAGCATATTTCTGTTGATTTTATGGAACATGAGAATTCCTCCCTATCCACCATCATCCACCATGCACAAACCCAAGCTGAAAGTGACCTGCCTCTCTTTCTCAGCCCCTTGCAAAATGTGTAGGTGTCAACTCCCTTCTAACATTGCAGAGGGGTATCAGCTACTTCTTCTCTCAGCAGTTTAATGGCACATATCTAATTAAACTCAGAAAACTGTTTCCTGTTTCTATGACAGACTCAAGGATTAACTAGTGTGGTCATAGGCCTGTGCAGTTTTTACAACTACAGTTTGGTCAAATAAACTCCAAGCTGTGTTTCAGCCATGCCCCATCGTTGTCATGCCTGTAATAACATGATAATGATATGCAAACACACCCTTTATAGGCTTTCTCACAGATGTCAGTGTGATGTACAGTGGGGAAACAGCCTACACTTTCATAAAGAATAGTGTAAAGAAGAGCTTCCCTGCTCAAGAGATTCCAAGCAGCTTATTTTCTTTCCTTCTTTCGGCTGCTAAAATAATTTTGTGAACATAGTTAACACAAAACCCATTAAAAGAGACCAAAGATTAATTTCCAAAGATCCTACATATACTATGTCTGTATAAATACCATTTCCTCACTGGATTTATAATTATTACACATGGGCACAATTATAACAATCACACCATATGGTTTTGTCTTTTTCACATAATTCACTAAATTATCATCTCATGAAAATTTAATATCTTTAATGCTTCCATATGAAGAAAATATTTTTTTTTCTTTGATGTAATTTTCAGCACTGTCCAGTGAAATCAAGTCCCTCCTTTTTTCATAACCACATTTCCTGCTTCCTGTGCCTGCTTCTGTTCCACTACATAAATTGTTTTCCACTGACATTTTCCTGCTTATCCTGAAACCCGTTCATAGAACCGTGTGGGAAAGGTTTCAGTATTCTGTGGCTTTGCCTAGGAACCCTGCAACACCTTCCAGAGCCTGAAAAACATCAGGCCTCTCCTCCTGAAAGGAGTTAGCATTCAGCAGCCATGCTCCATCACTCCATAAAACCAGGTGTCACTATGCACCAAAGCTGTCTCCAGTAGCTGGGCAGCCAACTATTCCACTCAATAAGAGGTATGTCCTTTCCTATAGTTACCCTGAAGGAAAATCCAGAAAGCGTCCATGCTCTGAGAAGACTGAGCCTAAACCCCTCTGTGCCTGCCCTTGGCAGAGGGAACAATCAGAATTAGGCTTCTACACTTCTCCTAATTCTGGCAGCAAGGGACAGAATTGCATCCCAGATCTGTGACACTTTTTGAACAAGCCACTGAGTATAAACAGAACCACTGGATCTGAAAGAAGCTATGACCTAGGTTTTCCCTACTATTTTCACAAAGGCACTCCTTGTGGCTATTCTTTGCAAAGGAACAAGACAAGCAGGGCAGATCACCTCCACCAGAGCATGCTGTGGTGCATAAATAGGCAGGTTTTCATTTTTTTTTTTACCTTAATCAGCTTATTCTAGATGTAACCCTATTTCCATCAAAATACTTCTAAATAGAGTAAGCTACTACAGTAGAAACTTATTCTAATAAAGTTTACTGTGTAAGCTTATTATTAATATTAGCTAAGGAGAAACTTACACAGCTGTGGATGTTTCTCATCATGTATTGTATTCTCTTAGCTAAACTACAAATATCTCCAATTGTTTTTTTATTAATTAATCACTTCACCATTGATTCTTCACGATTTGCTGATGGAAGGTTTATTGTATTTCTGGTAAATTCTGCCTTACAACAGGCAGTTTACCATGTAACACAAGCTAAGAAAAAAATGCTCATTATCTTTCCCATCTATCATGTAATTCTTCTCTATCTGTATCATTAAAAAGGCCTTTTATGGCCTCTCCATGCTACTCACAATTTCAGGGCATTTGTGTTAACTTTCATTTGAACTTTCTTGTTTTCTGATTTGATTTTCTTTCCTAAGAAATTCTTAAATTTTGCTGTCAACTCATAGTATGAAAGTAACATTCACAGGATGCTTTTGATTTTATTTAGCCTAATTTCTCTATTTTTTTGCTGCTCACAATTGATCATTACAGCAATTCAGTTGCAGAGAGGTTCAACAAAAACTGATTTTCCTCTGAAACAAATAGAGGATAGAAAGGAGGAAGAAAAACCATCTTTGCTTTATATGAAATTGAAAAAACAGTGCAAAATTAATTTCAGTAGTACTGAACCCAAAATATGCCTCTTTCCCAAGGCTGATTTAAGAGCAACCTTGAGTTGTTTTGTGTTTAAGATAAGGAATATAGTGCACGGTCATTTAGGTCAATCTTTGGACTTGCACGGTCTCAAAGTGTACTAAACACTCTAAGTCATGGACTGAGACATAAGGATGTGCTGTCAGTGCTGTTACACTGGCAATTATGGTGCAAATGCCAACAATCCTTGGAAAAAACCATTTGCCACTGGATTAAAGAAACATCTTGCTTTACCACTGCCTCCACCTGTAAAGCAACACACATTACATCAAATTCTGAAAAAGAACCAGCCAGTGACAGAGGTGACAGATGGAATTAAGACTTCACCTCTGATCAAGTTATAGATAAAAGATTGTTATAGCTACCCAAATGCCTCAGAATTAAACAGGTAACAAATGCCTGCACAGAGACATTTAAATACAAGCCACAGAAATTTAAAAGCCATGTCTAAAAATGCAGAGGCAAAAGCCACCCAGGATTCCACAACTTTTGAACATGATAAATTCAAATTGCATTGTTTAGGAGAGCCAGTGAATTTGTCTTCTGTTCTTATTATTCACATCACTGCAACATCACTTTTAAGAAATAAAGGAAGTATTAGCAGTTGCCTTGATTTGAAAGGCTTCCACCCTGAACATTTGAGAATGCTATGGGATGTGACAAGTTTCTGTATTGCTCTCAGTCACTTTTACTGTGCAAAGACTAAAATTACGGGGTTTTCTTGGGATATTATTTGCACTGCCTCTGGAAATAGTGCCTCAGTTGTCAATTATGATAAGATCTCTCTCCTGCTTTCTTGCTAGTTCCATTTTGCTACGTGGAGAAACAAACCCAGTGCTATCACTCTCACCAGCCGGGGAATTTATTAGCAAACCACTGGGCTCCTTCTGCCTCAGGATGTCTGTTGCCTGACTGCTATTTTTGCAATTTTAGACAACAGCTGTGGCTGGCAAACTGTGAGGAGATGCAAAATGCCAATTCTGTTTCCAAGCATCATAAGAGAAAGTGCTGATACTCACCAAACTATTCCCTGAGCCCCAGAGCCAATAGGTTTCAAGTTCTGGTAGCGTTTGAGGACTGTGAAAGTCGAATCACCTACTTCCACGCTGTAGAACTGGTTGTCAACTTTGCTTTTGCTCATGTTGTAATGTTTGGCAATATATGACACATCCACTTGTTTCCCAAATCCCTGTCGTACAGAAGAAGGGAAGGGGAGAGGGGTTGGTAAAAACAGAGAAACCAAGGCTGGTAAAGCATTAGAATACTGATAAAGCACTGTCAGCCTAATTTTTCAATATAAATTATTGTAATTTTTGGCTCATTTTCATAAAGACTTTATAAAATCTTCTTTCATGCAGGAAGTCACCATAAAAAGGCACTGATTAAAGAAAACCAGTGAATTCTACAGCTGATGTTTGTGACACAGCCACTGCCAACTACTGGTCTCTGCCTGCCATCACTCCTGCCTCATGACTACTGGATTATGCACTCGTGCTGATTCTGCCCTTGTGTGTTTTACAATTAATTTAAAATAAGATGACTTTCATCAGTGTGGAAGTGGGACAGGAGACACAGGAATCAGGCCCTTCATTATGGATCAGACAGAGCAAGAAAATGTCTTCCCATGAGTGCTAAAACTTTCCCTGAGCATGTGATAATGACCTTGAGAACCTTTCAACAGGGGTTGCAAAAGAAACAGAGCAGTTAATGAGACAAGCTGTGACCCAACATGGCTCAGTATCATGGAGATTCATTCAGAAGCTCCAGAGGTCTTCAAGAGTTCTGGGTTTCTAAGGATAGGAGGGAGAGTTGCTCTCATGACCCAACAAATGCAGTAAAAACCAATTTTTATGACACAAAACCAAGCACTGTAGCTAGCACTGCACAGCAGTGCTCCTCCCCAAAACTATAAAATTAAAAACTAATAATTTTTACAAGACTTAAAAAACCCTCCCTCAAATTTGTAAAATTACCATGCAGCAAGTTACATTATAAGCCCTTTATGACTACTGCTGAGCTCAGTTCCCTATGGACTACAGAGCAAATTTATAGTAATTTGAGATAAAAATCAGAATTAAGTGCTTATAATTAAGGATTCTATAGTACATGATTCTGAGCACAGGATACAAAAGCTCAACATATTACAACAGAGCTGCCCTAAAAGAGTTGAGAGTTAAGTTATGGAAGTCAAGGCATGCCCAAATACCTTCCATAAAGCAAACCCAAAAAACAGCTATGCCTCTGTCTATGCCTTTTTTTTCAGTGCTCCCAAACACAGATTATAAATTTTCTTATTTGCTCTATTATAAATTTCTTTCCCCTCAAAAAATCTGAATGATCAAATGCATTATGTGCTTATGGACTACTATGTTGAATTTTGATGGAGCTGGGAAAAAAAGTAAAGTTAACTTTGATTACATTACTCGTTCAATTAAAGAGGACATCTTTCCAGTGTTCCAAAAATCTGGCCATTAAAAACAGATTACTAACCCTGCAAAGAACTTGGATTTTAAGGTTTGCCTTGGAAAAATTATTATTCTTTTTCTGTCCATTATCTGACTGGAAGGCCCTTTGGCACTGGACAGCATCATCCTAAAGACCTCATTTAGAGACTTTGAAACATTTATTAAAATGTTTTAAAGTCTCTAAATGAGGTGTTTAGGATGATGCTGTCCAGTGCTAAAGGGCCTTCATTCAAACACAAAGTCTCATCTCAGAAAACCAAGTGGTAACTTTACATTAACTCGTTCATCAAACACTGTGAGGGGGAGAGCAGGAGAGGCCTTGCCCTAACACAAAAAGTGAGAGATTTATGGACACTGACACAGCGCTAAATTGAAGCTTCCAGAGAGTGAAATGATTCCAAAAGTGGTTTGAATTTTTCTCATTGGAAGACAAACAGGCTGCATCTGATTCACTCTGTGTAGCCTTAGTCTTAAAATGTCTTCCATTCTGTGAAGAGAGATGCATAAATTTGGCTATTCAGCTCAGGTACTCATACCAGACCTGAAATTGGGAGTTTTTTTGGGTTTTTTAATAACATGCTCCTGATTGACAGGAATTTCACTACTCCCTCCGGCTAGACAAGCACATTTGGAGCGTGTTTTTCCTGATGTCATTATCAGAACAATGCAGGACATATTCAGCATTAACACCCATTACTCTGAAACCAATGTTTATATATAAAGTGTCAGCATAAAAATTGCATTCCTGAGTGAGCCTGACTCATATCCAGCTCCTCTGGAAGTACAGACAGAGTGAATTTTTTAAACAAATTGGATGACTGTGTTAAGGCTTGGATGAGCCAGGCCTGCCACAACTTGTTTGTGTCCTCACTCCCAAGCTACCTGACAGCTCCTTGTGTGGCATGGAGCTATATGGGAGCACATATTTTATCACTCTATGTCTAGAATAAAAATTACTTGCTCTTAAGTTAGCCTGACCGTGTGAACTACTAGCCTCAGGAAACTCAAGCTCTGTACAGCGGGGTTTCTGAACTGCTGCCGTTCCAGCAGCTGGTTCTTTTAAATCCAGAAATGTCTTAAAAATCAATTAAAACAGCTGAGAAGAACCACTCTGTAGTACCTCAGTTACATGGGTAATTAACATATCCAATTGCTTCAGTCAACAGCAATTAAAGTTGTGGACCCAGAAGACCACAACTGATAAGAAAATGTAAATGTCCTGATGATGTCCTGAATCTGCTCCTAACTGTGTGACAGAGGGAAAGGTAATGACTGTTTTATTTTTCATGGAATCATTTTTTCTTTTTAGATTATTTTCTTTTTCCCTACTTAAAAATTTGTGCCCCATAAGGTCTTTGATAGAAAACAAGCACCAAGCATTACTTGGAAAAAATTCAAGGCAGGCTGATTTAGTTTGAAGTTTACTTCAAGCAGAATGCCTCCTCTGAGTGACAAAAATTTCAGCTTTGTGGACAGGCCAAGTCTAAGTTGCCTCCTTGCTCTAAACCCACGCTGCTAAAAAACTACAAAAAAACCCCTCTACTCTATATTTTCCAATTTTTACCAAAGCCTAAACAAGCAAAACAAGAGCAAAGTAAGGTTACTAATACCCAATGCATTGCTTACTTTCATAACAACAGATGAATGATATAACTATCCTTGTCATGATGCTGACTTAAACCAAATCATTAAGTCAATGAATTAATAGCATTATTGAATTAATCACATTTGATCAGATCCCCAAGCCAAGCTGACACATAATCAAGAACTCTCTATGGCTGATTCAACAGCCACTTCCTATTGAATGACAAGGAAATGGCAGTTTTGTTTCACTCCAAAACTAAGATAAAAAATCTTTTCCCTTTAGCAAGGAAATTCATACTCTTTACAGAGCATGTCAATGTTAGTTTTAGTTTCAAACCCTGATGAAAAAGTTCTTCCAATCTTCAAATTCACATAGCTCATCTTAAAGAAGCCTACACACCACATTTTATTCTTCTCCTGTTACATCCTCAGTGCTCATTTAAACCCCTCTCAGAAGCCTGGGTGTTGTTACAGATATTGATATTCCCCCAGATGCCCCTCTGTACACCACTAAGCTATTTCAGATTCAGGTTTTACTGCACAGTGCTTACAAGTCCTGTACAGACAGCTTAAGTTAAAGATTTGATTATGTGGCATCAGAAAGGAACCCAGGGCTAGGAATTTCCAGTATACACCCTTCTGTAGATGCAGCTAACCATAAACTCCTTTCAAATGTGATTGATGCTAACATCATAAGAAATCAGGAATTAGCACTTCATTAAGAAATAGATGGGGGAAGGAAGTTTATAGATACACATTGCAATCAGGATACCACAGTAAAAATGTATAGCTCTCATATAGTAAAGTGAATTCCAGAGAGTTATATATTCTCAGGTGAACTTCAAATGAACTTGGGCAAGCTACAATACTGAGGCCCCAGAACAACAGTAAACACTGAAGCTGTGAAACTTTGAACAAAACACATCTAAGTTTCTCAGACCTCTGTGTAAGATGAAAGATTACTCCTCAGAGACAAACTATGCATGGAAATGCCATTTGTTCTCAGTTTCCATAAACATTTGGACAATGAAATTACATTACTTCAATACTGAGAGGAACTCAGCTTTCATTTTATACGTACAAGAATACATGAACCATTACTTTCTCCTTTCAGTACCTAATTGAAAACTTCTAGTACACACACACACACATATTCCCCAATGCCATTCTCTTTCCTCCATACTGAGAAATTTAAGAGTAAGAGAAGTGAAAGTTTCTCAGCCCTGAAAACCTAACTATCTTTGTTAGCTCACTTGAGCACGTAGCCATATTTGCAATGATGTTTGCTTAGTAACCTGACAAGTCAGAAAGAGAAAAGAAAATAAACTGTCAAGACTCAAGCATCTGAGATGAAGGAAAAAGATACTCTCACCACTGCTAATTGCTTAGAGAGCATGTATTTTGCTTTCAAAGGACAAGTATTTAAAAATTCAGTGAAACTCAAATAACTTACTGCCTCACACAAAGCTACAAACTGTATTCTTTTCCTTTCTTTCAGAGTGCAGAGAGCAAGAGAGTTAAAAAGCCCAACAGAAATAAAATTATGTTATTTTCTATATTGTAAGGTGAATTGCTTCTTGATATCCCATTTTATTTGTCCATTTCTATCCTACAAAATAACTATACTTATCATATTTTACTGACAGACTTTTGTTTCTGAACACCATTCCCTCTATTATTGACGAGCCTAAAATATGGCAATGTCTTGGAGCTCAGCATCTCATACATTTCAGCTTTTATAAATACAAACCATGCTAGCAGCAATTTAAAGCAAATTGCTCTCCCTTGCATCTCCAGGACAGTGAGCACCGTCACAGATTCTGCTGGCAGCATCAGCAGAGGGGAAACCTTACCTCAGTGTTTGTATCCTTCTCTGTCTGCCCACAGAAATCCTGGCTGGAGCACCCATTTGAGGGTGCTGTGATGCAAGGCTACTGATATCAATTAAAGCCCTCCAGGTGTGTGTAAATGCAGGTGGGTGAAAGAATCAGATGGAAGGCTGAGAGGCTGACTCCCAGCTGGCACAGAGCCCAGAGATTGGCAGGATGAAGCAGAGAGGATGCTCTGAGCCAGACACCATGATGGCTCCCCAGCAGCCCCCACACCTGCACCCAGCCTCAGACAAAGAATCTGGTGTGGACCACAGCACATTCCAGAGGTGGATGCCTTTGGATCCCTCAGGATATAAAAGGATGTCTTAAAGCTACAATTTAACCTTGAAAGTCAAATGCTGAAGTTGTGCAGACCAACATTCATGAGTCTGGTAAAACCATCAGGCTTCTGGCCAGCTCTGCAAATGTGCACAGAGGCAAGCCCTGCTCACCTGGGTGCATCTGCTCAGCCAGCAGCACTATGAATTTAATGGCTGTCCTCCAACTTGCACAGCTCTAATTCTCACAGCAGTCTCAAGTGCCAGAATTCTGGCATGAACGTGAATTTGCTGAGCCCTCTGCTTCGAATTTCATGGTCACAGGTTTTGCTGTGTAAATCTGAATGTCCACAGAAGCTGTCACTTGGGAAATACAGAGTGTCTTTGCATAGAAAGATCTACTATATTGTTTTAAATTGTGTATTCTACATATGACACATTTATGGCAGAAATTTTATCTATTTTTTTCTCTCCATAAAGCCAGACTTCTCACTTCTTCTGGCTCTCCCTGAACTCAAAAGTCCATAAACAATGATCCAATCTCCTACACAGGGTTTCATCTTGCATGTGTATGGTTGGATGTAATATTACAGATTTTGGTCTTACCAGCCACATCATACCCCAGTTCTCCATTCTTCCACTTCATTCTCTTCCTGTGAGGCTTGTATTAGTCACCCAGTCTTCCTAATTGTAGTGTGTTTTGAGTGGGATTTTACAGCTAATTTCTGGCCTTCTTTTAATCTCTCTCCAGCTGCCTTGCCCCCAGACAGGGGGCTTTCTGCACTTAGCCTTTCAAGCAGACAATAGGCCCTTGCAAACAACTCAGCCTTGACTCATCAGTGATTGATCTTTTTACATTTGCTTTATTCACTCTATTTCAACACACCGTATTAAAGCATTTCATTAAATGTAGTACAATGTTTCTAAGTGCTGGTTGGGTTTGGTTTGGTTTTTTTTGGTTGGTTTTTATTTTTTTGGTTGGAGGTTTATCTAATAGTTGTTGCTTTTTATTTATTTGTTTAAACACTCTGTCCTTGTTTAACCTCTTCTAACTGAGATACCGAAAACCTATCAGCTTGCCTAGTTCTTACCTAGCTCTGACTGCACACAAAGCAGCAAGTCTGCCTTTTCCTTTTTAATTGTATCTAGTCAAAACATGAGGCAAAGCACTATTTCTTATTCTTCTCTTGTCCTCCACATGTTCACTGAGCTCTTGGTACTTTTAATTCCTTCCTTCCTACAGGCACGAAGTTTTCATAGGTCATTTCTAACTGTGGTAGTTTTCATAGGTCATTTCTAACTGTGGTATCATGTACTGCTCAGAAGTCACTGTGTCTCAGAGATGTGGCCCTCATTCCAGGCCAGATTCCTACAAATGAGCAATCTGTGAGTATCTGCACAAGAAAGCACTACTTCAAATGATTCCTCATCCCCCTGATGCCTGAAGAGCTCAATGCTGACATACAGGTGACATCCAGCCCTGGACATCACACCAAAGGAGGTTGGAAGGACTGATCGAGAAACACTGAAAGAAAAGGTTCCTTGAGACTGAGGTTTCTTTATGGAGAGGAACTAAATCAGTGATCCAAACCAATCCAAATATAGCCAAATATACAGGAGAGAAAGTAGATTTCTCAATAGAACTAAATAATTACAGTATATGATGTGAAGACAACAGCTAATTAAAGGATTCTCCCTTTTACAAATAAAGACTCTGTGGACCTAAGTAATCACAGCTTTAGCTAGAAATAGACAGCTCTTAACCCTATGAAGTATCATTTTATTAATAAAAATACAATATATCAATTATTGATAACTTTTGAATACCAGCTAATCTCCCCTTGGATAGAAGGTACAATCACAGGATACACTACATTTAGAATTGTATTCTAAATAAAGGCATCCCATATACATACAGATTAGGGAACATGTAAATTCTGACAGGCTACACATGTCTTGATATTGATTTAAAAAAAAGATACTGAAAGACTAAATGGAGAAAAATATGGATGAAGAAGTCAGTATTCTTTTAGAATTATTAGATATTGTTAGTATATTAGTATTAAAATTTAATGTCCTATTCTACTCATGACACACCACTCCACATTACTTTGTGCCACAATAAAAATCTGTAGGGTCCTACAGATAAAAGCTTGTTGGTGATACCAGCCCTACAGAAGTCTAATGAAATTCTAAAGGTCTTCTAGTCGTACTTTTCTATTATGATAGAAAAGCAGATGTTCTCTTCCTCAGCCTTAAAAAAGGTGGCTGTTTCAGAACATGAATTGGCTACCCACGTCCAGTAATTCCAGACCTGGGTGTTTTCACACTGCAAACAGCGTGAAAGGGTGGGGAGGTACATATTTATTCACTTATGGTACTGAGGTTCTTATGCCACTGAGTGTTTCTCAGGAAGGGCCGTTCTTTTTTCCTTATGCTGGAAATCCTTAAAATTCTATTCCTGCTGAATTAGCATTTCATTGTACAAAACTAGTCTGCTCAGTGACATAAGCTCTATGTCAAAGAGAAGAGACTGTAATTATGAATATGTCACTTTCCTTCAGAGCACATAAAGCTATGCCTTTTAGGCCACAAATACATATTAAAAGAAAAATACACCCCCCAATACTAAAAATAATCAGGGTTCTCTTCAGTATTGGAGCTTTCAGGAAGGCACTTCAGCACAAACACTTTGGAGAAAGTCTGCAGAGAGGCATAAATTTCAAATGGAAGCAGGAATAAGAATGGAATAAACAATGGACACCAATGGACACTATTCCTAGTCTCTAAATAAAGATCTGGATGCTCGGACCAAGGACAGAGATATAACCCCCATCCCACTCTAAATAATACAAATGAACAGCACCCAAGACAGGTCTTAATGCAAGCAGACACTTAATTTAGAGACTGTTCTTGCACATAGTTACAGCTCTTATTTGGATCAGAGCCTATCTTTATGGAGAGAATAAATTAACACAAAGCTTAAACCAGTTTTTATCCTCAAGAGAATCGATCTGAAGGTCTGAAGACCTTGAAAAGGTGTCTGTGTGGTAAGAGCTGGAAGGATGAAATTCTGTTCCCTACAATGCCAGGATAGTATCTCTTTGGATGTATTTAGTGGATGATGCCATTTTGGGTACCTGCTGCAGCCATCAAACAGGAATGAATCTCACTCAGTGATAAAAATGCATCCAAAATGGTCTAAGTAAAAAGGAGAGGAGAGCTATGCAAAAAACCTCTGTTCTGTACAATGAAAGTATTTTTTTTTATTAATAACACTTTTCTCATACAATCTGAGAAAAAAAATTGCAATTTCTGCAATTTTTATTTTGGAAGCAAACCTTGTCAAAACATTACAAAAATACTAAGTTTGACAAAGTTGCCAGTGGAATAATTAAGCCAGTTAAGCACACCCACATGAATAAAATTAAATAGAAAAGTCAGTTAAGCAGATTATCAAACTGAATAGCCAAGACCCATCCTAGAGCTGATGATTCCTAAGTACAGATTGAATCTTCTCAGCAGAATTAATATTTAGTGTCCCTGAGTTAAAAAACATAAAGCAAACTTTCTAACACCTCTGTCTCATGTTAAAGGCTTTCACACAAGTAATAGCCCTTTTCTTTTTTACAATTGTGCTTTCACTTGGACTCCACATGTAACATAAAAGAAAAAAAATAGTGTTTATCATAAATTCATCTAAGAATTCATTCTAAGAATGCAGCATTGTTTTCCACTTCAAAAAGTGAAGAATGTCCCTAATATCTCTCAAGTTAGTTAGATTACGGATGTCCCATCTCACAAAAAAACCTTGTAACTAAGAAGAAATAGAATTCAAGCTCAAAACACTGTTCAGAAGTGAGCAGAAAAAGTTGCCTTTCATTCACAAAGGAAAATTATGCACACACAAAGGAAAATTATGCTTTGTGACTAAATATGTTAACTAAATTAACCAAGAAAACAAAAAACTGGATAAATCAAAAAGATTTTTCTTTTCATCAGAGATTTAGTTTCAGCTTTGTGGGCTTCCATACATTGTGACCAAACCATTTCAAGGGTGATGTAGAAATACAGAATTGGCTTTAGTGATGCTTATGGCTGCAGGACCTCAATAGCACATGGTGTTCAATGGGAGACAAGACAAAGACCACAATTTTAATTACACTTCCTTCACTTCCAGTACAGGTAAACAGAAAATTAGTCACAGCTACAATGTAAAAGGCTCTGTCTCAGAAGAACAGAGACTAAGATAAAATAGTTTTAATTTGCAGTTTTTCTGTTTGAATACTGTGCCATTATTTTCCACTAAAAAACCTCAGAATATTAACTGAGAGTTTATCAAAACAAAATCAAAAATAATTGAGACCAAATTACAAAATAAGCTTGAGGGCAAACAGAAAACTTACTCTTTGTGATGCATTTCTCTAATTTTTTTTTGTATTTATTCTCATTTTTATAACCAGTTACTTGCAGTAAGCTGCTGAAACTCACTTCTATTTTTCTCTTATTATAGCATGTATTGCAAAAATGAAGTACAAGTATATACTGTACCTTGTTTTACCTGTAAGGAACACACACCTGACAAAAGGCAATCTTCACATCCAGAGTAGGTTCACCAAAATAATACAAGAAATGGCGGCTCATAAATACCTGCAATTAAAGAAAAGTAGACATAGAATTTTTTTCTGGCTGCTGATGTGCAAGTATAATGCAGCTCTAGCTTCATTTGGATTATAAAACCAACCTGATTTGTTACCCAGCTTGTCAAAACCAGAAATGTAACACTGAACTGTAAAAAAGCTTTAAATTCTGTCCAATGCCTGTCAAGGTTATGGCCCCAAATATGACTTGGTTACATCTGGAAAACTTTACAGTAACTGGTGCCATTAATTCAAAGTTTATCATGTCACTTGCATATTCCTACACTAAAAATAAAAACAACAAAATCAGGTCAATAATGTTCTAAACAATGTGGGAATAGGAGACACTTATTGTTATGGGAAGGAAAAAAAAAAGTCCTAAGTTGACAAGTATTAGGAAAGTCATAGAGGTGGAAAGAGTAGCTACATCACTGTGTAAATTCATCCACTTTGTTAGCATCCCATGTAGTTCTTGTTCTGGTCTTAACATTCTACCACTAGAAAAGCTACAGAGGGCAGTAAGATGGGTCCAAAGCACAAAGAACTTTTTTTTTTAGCCTAGAAAAGAACTGTCTGAGCAGAAATATGCTGGAGATAGATAAAATGAGTGGCATACTGAAAAATGAAATGGAAAACACCCTTCCTTTTTTTTTTTCAGATTAAAAATAAAAAAGGCACCAAGCTATGTTATCACAGTTAGAATTAACAATAGGAAATAATTCTTCATACACTGTTTCATCACAGTGAATCTCATGTTGCTGTGGAAACCAGAAGTCAACATAAGCGCTAATATGATAAGGCAAATTCACATAAGAAGAAATCTGCTGAAGGCTATTAACCTCAGAAATATCACCCCTGACTCAAGACACCCCTGAGTCACAGTCTGCCACTCCATGCTCAGCTATTTCTGGATTTCCCAGTCATCTGATACCGGCCCAGGGAGCCATAGGCTGGACTAGACAGCCTCCCTGTGCAACCCCATTATAGGTGTTTTTGTTTTAATTTAGTTCTACAGCACCACATCCAGCTCTGCTGAGCCAGTCCTGTCCCAGCTGCATTCTAGCATGGCACATCAATGGCAAACACCCCCAGCAATGTTGTCAGGCTGGGATAGGCAGCTATGTCACAAGACTTTGGAGCACATAGATTCTTCTGCATGACTCCAAAAAACCACAAAACACCCAGCCAAACACACAAAACAACAACAAAAACCTGTTAACAGTACAATGAAAAAACTAGCAACTTTCAGCTAAAATTAGATACATTATATAGAACTTAATGGTATCTTGGTTAAATATAAGCTCATTGTAAAGACTTAAAAATGAAAACAAAATAACCATCAGTCCATAAAGACAAAACTATGATTCTGAAACACTATTTAGTTACTTATGGCACTTGTCTTCAGTAGGAACAACTAATTAACTTCAAGTGTAAATGGCACTAAATAAGACAAGACTTAATTTGGAGTAATTTCAACTCACACCAACTGATCAGGAGTAAAGAAACTACAAGAAAGTATTCACCAATACTTGCCAACTTCAATGCACCATGTGCTCCCACATGTGTTTAATTTTTAATGAATGAATATATGAATAATCCTGTTATGAAAGCAAGTTTTTATGACCTTTTCTGCATCACATTACAGTGTCTGAGATTGCTGTCTCACTGCCCACTGAGTCATTACCAGAGTCTCATATTCCACAGAGGCTTTATAATAGTTTATATTAAAACAAAAAAGAAGAAAGGAAGCTTTTTTTCAAAAAGAAGAAAAAAAAAAAGAAGGAGGAAAAAAGCTTTTAACATTAGTCATATTGCCAATGATTTCTGGAAAGCCAGCAGGTAATTACACTGTCATGCTGCAGATACACTCCCTGGCTGTATGCATTACATTGCTATAATAATCAATGACTGAAATGTCAATAGCTATGACACACCATGCTCAAGACAGAGCTTAATGGTGGAGAGGAAAAAAGGAAGGGAAGAAAATTGGGGGAATTTGGTTTCTCCCTGAATTTGCTGTGAGGGTCTATTGAGAAGATATACTTGATATTATGCATGCATTACTGGTCATACCCTGCTCCTCAGCTGTCCACAGGAATTACTGTGACTGTTAATAGTCACCCTAGGCAGAACAATAGACTGGTGAGTTTTAGGAACTGGAATACATTTTACAATTTATGATGTTGTCCTTGTGGGCAGTTAATGCTTATAAAATAATAGAAGTATGGTATGTTTTAATGGCCTAGATCAATACTCATATTCCTCTGTACGTGAGATACATCAAATGAATCACTACAGAGCTGAGTTCCTCCAGCTGTGCAACGGGAATGAATGCCACCTTTCCATGGCACAGAAAGGTGTACCCAGGACAAAACAGACTTGAGTTCATGTTCTAAAATGTTTATTGAATTCATATAAGGTTCCCTTCAGTGCCCTGTAAGTGATCCCACGTGTATGTAACTCCTAATTCCTTCAGGCAGAAAACAGATTCGCACTCAGCTGCACAGATCTCCTTGATCACATCTCCTCTGGTGCGAGCTGACACCACATCACTAGAGATGTTTAAGAAGTGTCAGAATAAAGAACTGGCCTGATGCTGAGATAATTGTGTTACAACATAAAGCAGTTATAAAACAAGAAGCTACTGAGGCAAACAGCATCACTCACCAGTGACTGGAGCTTTATGTGAGAGCATAAGCATCCAGTATTTCTTTACCCCACCTCTGACACGTTATCTTTTCAAAATTGAGTGAAATCACCCAAGGGGCGGAGAACTGGGAGAACAGAACATTGTTGATAGAATAAAATACTCTGGGAAGCCAGAGACTTCTGTAGCATTACAGGGAGAAAACCTGTCTGTGAAACAGCAAAGCCACAACTGGATCCCAAATCTTCATTATGATCAAGACATCTGTATGCCAGAAGCCACAAAAACATACAGGACTCAGCAGCAAACATATTACATACTTTCAGGCAAAACAAAACAAGGAGGCACTAAAATCAGGAAGAGGAAACCAGCCATGAAGGCAAGATAAAGAAAATCCTGAAAATCCTCTGAGCTATACAGTAGCACAGCTCCAAGGGAACTGCTGGATGGATCCACTGAGGTTTGCCTCTACCTAGCCTGCTGCTTTGCCATCCTCTTCTTCACTCCACTCTTCCTTCCTTATGGAATGCTTTAAATGCTTTCCTTTAAATGCTTTCCTTATGGAATTCTTTAAAACAGAATGTGGACTAAAGACATGCCCAAATTTCAGGCATGAACTTCTCTTTACCTGCAGTGCTCCTATCAAATCTTCCTTTTCTGTACAAGGACTTTTTAGGACTTTTTTTACTTTTAATAATGGTTATCTGTCTCTCCAGGGGTCAGGGGGATTATCTAATTATTATTCAAACAGCTCTTTGAAGACTGAAAGGATTAAATCAATACTATTAATATAATTACTGAGAACAGAGAAAAAACCATGAGAGCAGTTAAAACAGACCAGAAAACCAACAGCAGCTGCAGTTCTCAAATAGAGCCTCCCACAGTAAACCTGTCTGCTCATCTTTGAATTCTTTCCTCACCCTTAGTGCTGTATGATATTGGTACCCAGGGAATGTCTGGGCAATTTGGCCCAGTCAGATTAAATATTGTGGCCTAGGAGTGTTGTTTTCTACCCAAGCTGCCTTATCCTTCACATAAGTGGCTCCTGGATCATGGGAGACTGTGTTTGCCTCAAGCCTAAGAGATGCAAACCTCCAGTCTGAGGGGTCTGGGCTATTGCTCTGCTGGCCCAAGAAGAGCCTACGCACTTGCACCCACCCTGTTGAGCTCCTTTATCTGGAAAAGGCATCACAGTCACTTTCTTTTGAGAAAATACCTTCATGATGGTTTACCATCCCTGCATCCCCTAATCAACAGGTAAGTCCCTCACACCCAATGGACAGTGCCTCAGCCTGACACAGTATATATAAAGCCTTTTATGAAAGTTCAGGAGGCCAATGTTAAGCCTCAGTAAAGTCCCATGTAACTTTTTATTCAGAGAGATAAAGGAGCCAGCTGCCCTGCTGCAATACTGCTTCCTTCATCCCAGCTCAAGCAGGCAGGGCCACTCCTCTCACCCCACAGCACAACCATCTGTGTCAAATGCACTGATCCAGGGCTCAAACAAGGCTCTCCACGAGGAAAAACTGCAGCAGTTCTTAGACCTGCATTTAAACCAGTGTTTAAATGCACTTAAAATGAATATCCAAACTAGCCCTGCTGCTGCTCTCATCACCTCCCACCTGCTCCTATACTTTGAGAGGTATTCACATGCCTACAATAAAACAAAATGGAAACAAATGCTTAAATTCCTAATTTAAAAAGTAGACCCAAACGGAATTTAAAAAAACATTAGAAATGCAAGTCCCAATTTAAACAGGAATCAAATGGCAGCTGGAGATAAAGTAGAAAGAACTATTTGTATGTAAAACTTCACAAGATTTAAACCTGGCATATTGTGGCTGCAAACTGGAAGGTTGTAAAAGAATCACAGGACATCCACCAATATCTAGGCCAAGTCCCATCAATTGTGATAATCTCAGTAATATGGGGAAGCAATATATATTCATATCAAGTAATCAAATCCAGCATTTCTGTTTATTTGATATTCTGTTTATATGATATTACCACCCAAATACATGGCACATGGGCACAGTGAATGTGCTCCCTATCTTCACCATGCAGTTCTCTACTTGTTCTACAAAAGGAGAATTAAAGTATTTATTACTACCTCATTTAGTTTCATTCATAAAGATTCAGGGCATGAAAAAAAATTAAGGAAATAGCACCATCACTTAAAGTTAATTTAAAAGCCCATCCTGTCCTAATTCAATGAGAGGGGGCAATTGATCAATTCAGTTGTCACTTAAAAACCTTCTTTAAAAACACTAATGTTCAAAGATTAACTTCCATGAATTATTAATGCTTCCTGTTTTGAAAATGTGCTTGAACAATTTCATGCATTTCCAGTATTAGAATTCCTC